CTCAGCCACCAGACCCCTCCCCGCCCAGAGAACCCAGGAGTCCGGGCCCCCCCCTTACCATGGTCTCTCCCAGCCCCTTGTTGTGGATGGAATCAAGACAACAGGGGCTCTGGGGCAGGAAGTTCTGACAGCCCCTCCCCCAGGCGTCTACTTCCACTTCCGGGGTCACCCGGCCGCCCTGGCCAAAGGCGCAGCCGCCACCCCCAGCCGCAGCCAGCTCATCTGCCCGCTTCCAAGATGGCCGCCATCAGGGCTATGACGTTCCTCCCAGTCGGCCTCTGCCCGCTTCCAAGATGGCCGCCCCCAAGCCCAGAGGCAGAGGAACCTATCAAATATGGCCGCCCCCATGAGAGTGACGAGCGCATCAGGCAAGATGGCCACGCCCCCGGGGATCTGCTCAGCCTGAGTGCCAGGATCAAATATGTCCGCTTCAGCGTTGAATGCACCATTCAACGGGAGCGGCCATCTTTGATACTGGCAAATGCAACGCAAGTTGAATCAAACCGGTCGTCCATAACCAGATAGATACAGCGCATGGAGATAGATAGATAGATAGATAGATAGATAGATACAGGGGTGGATGGGGATAGATAGATAGATGGGTGGATGGGGATAGATAGATAGATGGGGGGATGGGGATAGATAGATAGATAGATAGATACAGGGGTGGAGTGGGATAGATAGATAGATAGATACAGGGGTGGATGGAGATAGATAGATAGATAGATAGATAGAGGGGGTGGATGGAGATAGATGGGTGGAGGGGAATAGATAGATAGATCGATCGATAGATAGATAGATGGGGTGGATGGGGATGGATAGATAGATAGAGGGGGTGGATGGGGATGGATAGATAGATAGATAGAGGGAGTGGATGGAGATAGATGGGTGGAGGGGGATAGATAGATAGATAGATACAGGGGTGGATGGAGATAGATAGATAGATAATCTTAGGGGCTGGAGATCTAGATGCATAGGCATATGGTTAGATATCTCAGGAACCCCTTGGTCAAATGACCCCCAATTTGGGTCACTGTCTGGGGAGGGGAAGACAAAGGGCAACAGAGAACCCAGGAGTCCTGGCTCCCAGGCCACCCCCTGTCCTCTGCTCTCAGCCATCAGACGCTTCCCTGCCCAGAGAACCCAGGCCCAGCCAGTTCTGAGGCACTCAGCATAACCGTGCGGATTCCAGAGCACTCGGGAGCCTCAGCGGAGTGTGGCCCGGCCCAGCCCCGCCCCCAAAGGTGTTGCGGTAGATGTGGCCCACGCTGCCCTTTCCCCATGGCAATCTCTGGGGTCATGCCCGCTCTCCCGCGACTTTCTGCTGGGTACCATAGGCCTCTTTGGGGCCTCCAGCCTCCACAAAATAATTATAATAGAGATATACCTATCTCATAGAACTGGAAGGGACCCTGAAAGAAAGGTCATCAAGTCCAGCCCCCTGCCTTCACTAGGAGGACCAAGTACTGATTTTTGCCCCAGATCCCTAAGTGGCCCCCTCAAGGATTGAGCTCACAACCCTGGGTTTAGCAGGCCAATGCTCAAACCACTGAGCTATCCCTCCCCCCCTTGAGCCATGAGCATGCAGGGAGAGGTCTCCCCCTGCCACATATCATAATCATCCCACCCTCTAGGACCCAGGAGGGCATGGGAGGGGCCGAGCGATGATCCGGCTACTCTGGGACCCTGACACCCCCAGGCTCAGAGCCCGAAGCCTGGGCCAGTAGTGCATGTCCCAGCTGGGAGGTGCTTCTGTTCATGGTCATGTGAAATCCATTCTTATTTCAATTCACCTTTGCTCTTTGCCTCTCTGATATCCTGCAGCAGGGCGTTCCACAGGCTACTCCACTCAGGCATACACGGAGCAACGCAGCCATATCCCATCTGTTATCCACTGCTCCCTCCCCTGAGCTGGGAGCCGATGCAGCATGGGTCGCAGCGCCACCTCCTGAGCCTCCCACCCCACTGCCCGCAGCACTGGGCCCCTGGGGCCACACTGGGTGTCAGTGCACCAGACTCCACATGGGGAGGGCCTAGCACCGTATGGAGCCAAGGCAGTCTGACAAGGAAGCTCCCACTCGCTTCACACACCTGGGACCCCAGAACGACGGCAGCCCCCGCCACGGGACGGAGACTGCCTGGCACAGACGTGACCACCCGCTGCTGCCCAATGGTGCCAGCTGGGACTGACGCAGCCAGGTGGCTTCACCCAGTCTCGACTGAACCACAGCCAGTGATGGAGAATCCGCTGTGCCCCATGGGAAATCGGTTAATTCCTCTCATCGTTAAAAACGGACGCCATCTTCCCAGGCTGAATTGGTCCAGCTTCAACTTCCAGCCGGTACTTATAGATGGGGATAAAGTCACCCCTGCACCTTCTCTTGGTTCAGCTAAATAGACCGCGCTCCTGGCACCCTTTAATCATTCTCGGGGGGCTTGCCTGACCCCTCCCCACGGGACCCACATCCTCCCTGAATTGTGGGTGGCCGAACAGGACAGATCGTCCCGCCCTGAGTCCAATAACCGGGCAGAGGCCAGCAGGGGGTGGAGGGAAGGATGTTTTTATTCAGAACAAGGAGCCCGATACATCCAGAGGTGACTTAACTCCAGGCCGATCCTCGGGGGGCGCCGTTCTAGCTCTTGCTGCGGGGGGGGGGGGGGGGGGGTTAGGCATCTGTTTCCATGCTGGCCGAGTCACCCCTGGATCCCTGCGGTGGGGCAGAGCACAGGGTGAGGGTTATGGGGGGAGATGTGGAAGGGTCGGCCTGCCCCCCTAGCCGGGACGGTGGGACACGGCTGGGTGAGAACACTCAGACGCTGGCACCAGGCCTTGGATCCCACCCCGAGTGCGATCGCCCCACCCTAGGCCTGACCCCAAGCCTGGCCCCACTGCGCTGCTGGGCATTTAGGCTGGCAGCCTGGAGGGAAGGGCCGTGGGTCCCAGCCCCAGGGACCGCTCAGCCCCGTGGCTGGCATGCTGATTGGGATAGCCAAAGGGGTACGAGCGACTGCTGAGCCTCCGGCGGACACGGGCACCAGCAGGAGCCCAGAGCCAGGAAAGCAGCCAACCAACCAGTCCTCGCACACCTCCAGTCAGGCCTCGCACACCTCCAGCCAGGCCTCGCACACCTCCAGTCAGCCAGCCAGTCCTCGCACACCTCCAGTCAGGCCTCGCACACCTCCAGCCAGCCAGTCAGGCCTTGCACACCTCCAGTCAGGC